AACTTCCACCTAGAACTCTATGCTACACTAGTAAGCAACTTGAACAGTGGACTGGGCCTTGAACTGCAAGTTTTCTGTGAATCTAGCTTCACATAAAGCCTTGACCGATACGTGGCTACCGTGGGTCTTCCCCGCAGGTGGAGCTTATACGTCATACTCCGTGACCTTTCATGAGTTTACTAGAGAGAACCCTACTCTCATAGATTGCGACGTTTGACAATCAAACTCATATAGGTGTGTTCTTTAAAAGATGTTCTGCAGGATAACATCTCTGCTTTAATGAGCCACTTAGAACACATTAAGATATATATCAACCTGCCATGCAGATTAGGAGAGCATTGCATCTTCATGGAGTGGTATTGTGAATAGTAAGGATACTCTCCTCTCAGTTGACCAACAGCTTGTCTTCCACATCTAATTCACGGGATCTCCGATCACAAAGAATAGGTTACCACTGTGAACAACTCATATTGTGGGTCTCATACCCATCTCCCTCGATGCATTATCTATCACATTACGTGATAGACCCTTAGTAAAAGGATCTGCCAGATTTTTAGACGTTTGGATATAATCCAATGCAATAACTCCGGAGTTTTTCATTTTCCTGACAGACTTTAACCTTCTCTGAATGCGTCTTGATGACTTCATGTTATCCTTTGAGCTGCTCACTTTCGTGATCACAAGTTTGATTGTCGCAGTTCATAAGGACACCTGGTACATGTTTCTCAACAACCGGCAAGTCATTCAAGAGCCGACGAAGCCAATCTGCTTCCACCGTAGCTGTATCTAGTGCTGTGAGTTCTGCTTCCATTGTTGACCTCGTTAAGATGGTCTGCTTGCAAGACTTCCAAGAAATAGCGCCACCTCCATGAGTGAATACATAACCGCTCGTGGCCTTTATCTCATCAGCATCTGAGATCCAGTTTGAGTCACTATACCCTTCAAGCACCTTTGGGTGCCCGGTGTAGTGAATTCCATAATTTGCAGTGCCTTTCAAATAACGCAAAACTCTCTGTAGAGCTTTCCAATGCACATCTCCTGGTTTTGAAACAAACCGACTTAGTTTGCTAACAGCAAAAGAGATGTCAGGTCTTGTAGCACTGGCTAAGTACATAAGCGAGCCAATAATCTGAGAATACTTCAATTGGTCTCTAGCAATTCATTGATTCTTTCGAAGCAACACACTAGCATCATATGGTGTTGGAGAGGGCTTGCTGTCACTGTAGCCAAAGCGACTCAAGATATTTTCCACATAGTGAGATTGAAGCAATGTAATCCCACCATCATCGTCTCTCAACAACTTGATATTTTAGAATGACATCAGCCACTCCTAAATCCTTCATCTCAAAACAACAAGATAGGAAATCCTTGACCTCCTTAATAACATTCAGATTTGTTCCGAAAATCAGTATGTCATCAACATACAAGCAAAGGATAACTCCCTCGCCCCCACCATGGCGATAGTACACACATTTGTCAGCTTCATTTACAACAAAGCCTGCAGCTGTTAAAGTTCTTTCAAACTTCTCATGCCACTGTTTGGGTGCTTGCTTGAGTCCATACAAAGACTTTAGCAACTTGCACACTTTTCCTTCCTGACCATCTAGTACAAACCCATCTGGTTGTTCCATATAAATTTCCTCGTCCAACTCTCCATTTAGGAAAGCAGTCTTAACATCCATTTGATGAACGAGAAGACCATGTGAGGCAGCTAGTGAAAGTAGAACTCGAATAGTGCTCAGTCGAGCCACAGGTGAGTAAGTATCAAAGAAGTCTTCACCTTCCTTTTGGGTATAACCCTTTGCCACGAGCCGAGCCTTATACTTTTCAATAGTACCATCAGGCCTAAGCTTCTTCTTGAATACCCATTTGCATCCTATAGGTTTGCACCCATAAGGACGATCAGTTATCTCCCAAGTTTCATTCGCCAAGATGGAATCCATCTCGCTACGAACCGCTTCCTTCCAGTAGTCAGCATCTTCAGATGCATAGGCCTCTGAAATAGAACTGGGAGTGTCATCTATGAGATACACAAGAAAATCATCACCAAAGGACTTTGCAATCCTCTGTCTCTTGCTCCTAGTAGGAACTTCATTGTTCTCCTCCACAGGACTTTCAAAGTGTTCTATCGAAATGGCAGGTTTGGTAATTGTAATTGGTTCCTGATTCGATGAACTAGGCATCTCCTGATTAGATGAGGTAGCCATATCCTTCATGGGAAAGATATCTTCAAAGAAAGTTGCATCATTCGACTCCATGATCGTACCGACATGCATGTCAGGTACCTCAGATTTTACAACCAAGAATCTATAGCCAATGCTATGAAAAGCATATCCCAGGAAAACACAATCCACAGTCTTTGGTCCAAGATTCCGCTTCTTTGAAATTGGAGCATTGACTTTCGCCAAACAACCCCATGTTTGCAGATAAGAGATTTTTAACCTTTTCTTATCCCATTCCTCGAATGGAGTTATCTCTTTGTTCTTTGTGGGGACTCGGTTCAGGACATGACATGATGTCAATATCGCCTCCCCCACCATGCCTTGGAGAGACCCAATGTGTCTAACATGGCGTTAACCAAATCAGTTAGAGTACGGTTCTTTCTTTTGGCCACCCCATTTGACTGAGGTGAGTAGGGAGGCGTCCTCTCATGGATTATACCATGTTCCGCACAAAAAGCATCAAACTCATTGGAAAAATACTCTCCACCACGGTCGGACCTAAGCCTCTTGATTTTTCGATCAAGTTGGTTTTCCACTTCAGCTTTATAGATCTTGAAAAAGTTCAAAGCCTCATCCTTAGATTTCAGAAGATACACACGGCAGTATCTAGTGGAGTCGTCAATTAACATCATGAAATATTTCTTTCCACCTTTTGTCAAAACACCATTCATTTCACATAGATCTGAATGTATGAGCTCTAGTGGTGCAAGATTTCACGAGGAAGAAGTCGTCGTCGGGGAAGTAGTCATTGGCGACCGGATCGTCCGTGATGAAGCAGCCAGTATTCGCGTTGAGCGCTCCCCAAAAACCTTATGACCCTTCTCCCGTACATGACTCAAAAGGTGCGGTTTCGGAGGCGTACTGTCCCGACCTGCGGTGCATGCCGCAAGCCGGGATGGGGAAGATCGTAGCAGCAGCGCAGTACTCAGGAACTTGTGGCAAGAGGAGGAAGAGGTTCTGATGCGTCTCTCTGGGAGGAGCGACCTCCCTTTTATAGGCACAAGAGAAGGAGGCGAGAGGGCAGCGACGGGAGGCGAAACGAAGAGACGGAGGCGAAGGGCTGCACCGTTCGCATTCGAACTCCACTTTCACAAAAATCTTTTCAGGTTCCGTGTGACCTTTCGTATACCCATAGTGCGTGGCAAAAATTTAGATATTGGCTCGGCTCATTCCCACAACCCACAACCCGCGGCGCGTCATGGCGAGGCGTGGCGTGGCGGGCGGCGGAGGAGGAGCGCGCGTGGATATCCCTCTTGTTCTCATGCTCATACAAGTGGGGAAAGAACCTCCCTTATAAGGAGGTCCAACTCCCACTCAACTAGCAATGTGGGACTAAACTTTAGTAGTATCCCTTGCCTTGCACAAATGGGCTAAGTGGGCCTCTAGGATTTATTAGAAATTTCTGAAACTGCTATTGGGCTAGGCCCAAAATAGACAAAATTCCAGCAAATCGGACGAGGGGATCAAGAGGGACCATCCGGTGTCCATGGATCGGATAGAGGGGTTAGGGATCTAGCCGAATCGAGGGCAGGTTGGAACGGGCTCCCGAGTCCAGGAAGAACAACCCTCGCAAAACAAAGTCCAGGAAGAACACGACGCCTTGAAGGAGATGACATGCGGGCCAGAGGTGTCAGCGGGTGTATCTACTACCCCTATAAAAGGAAAAGAGGGGCAGATCCAAACAATTATATCCATCCATCTACATGATCTGATGGCTCATAATCCTTCTGTGTTTAACCCAACAAGCCACGATTAAACCAGTTACGTACAGTCCATCAATCGCTAAAACAAAACGTTCCCACGACCTCTAGAATTTTTGTCAAAAGAGATCACCTGTAGAACGAAATTGTCAAAAAAGACCCCCTTCAAGACGAAGTGACAAAAAAGACCCCCTCAGCCGTGGCGGCAGGCCCGGCAGGCAACACGCGTGAGGCGGCCGGCCCTGCCGCCACCGGGCCAGGCGGCATGCTGGGCAGAATGGTGATTCTCACGCTCGCGACGGAACGACAGCGACTGTGAGGCCTGGCGGCAGGACTGTGCCAGCTGGGCCCAGCCGCCTCGTCGGCTGGCGGCAGCCCTGTTCCCTCGCACTGCGCTGCCTTTTGCTGTTTCGTACGCGCTGATTACTCCAGTATTCCACACAGTCTATCGTTTAATTCTTTTGATGTTTGTCCGTTGTGCCGACACTCCAGTACTCAGTTTCTTTTTATACCCTTCTCTGCACCATGCGCAGACGCTCGGTCACGAGCTCGAATCTCTGGTTGTCTCAGTGCTTGTCTACTCTCTAACAACGGACAGACATCAAAATAATTAAACGAACGGACTGCGGATATTAGAGTAATCAGCGTGTACGAAACGAGGAAAGGCAGCGCAGCGCGAGGAAACAGGGCTGCCGCCAGCCCGCGAGGCGGCAGGGCCCACTGCCGCTGCCGTTCCGTCGCGAGCGCGAGAATCCCGTTCTGCGTAGCATGCCGCCTGGTCCCGTGGCGGCAGGTCCTGCCGCCTCGCGCCGTGGCGGCAGCTGCCACGTGTTGCTTCCCGGGCCTGCCGCCACGGTCAAGGGGTTTTTTTTTGTCATTTCATTTCAGAGGGGGTCTTTTTGACAATTTTGTTCGACGGATGGTCTCTTTTAACAAAAAATCCGACCTCTAGCCCCGCCCGCACGACCTCACGCCCCGCGCCGTTACTCCCGCACAACCTCACGCCCCCGCGCCGTTCCTCCTGCAGATCGAGAAGGATGGATATATCATGAGCAAACATCACCGCTTCCCTTCCTCCATGCGCCGCCGCTCCATCCTTCCCCTCCTCCTCGCGCCGCCCCTCTTTCTACCGTCACCACCCCCCATCGGCGCCCTCCGCAGCCTAGCTGAGCCCCTTCGCCCGTGGACGTGTTCCGGCGTCATCCCGCTACAGGTTGTCGTACCTCTGGAGGTGCGGAGTGGTGGTGGAGGCGAGAGGAGAGGCGCAGGATCTTGGCCTTGATGTCACCGATTTCGACGTGGGCGGTGTCTTGCTCGCGTCTGGGTGTGGGTGGTTCGTGCCGTCACCGTACCACCAACAAGGATGACACCAGACACCTGATGGCCTCTCCCTGAGAACCGTCTTTGCTTCGCCGATGTATCCCACCTGCGCCCAATGTTGAGGTCTTGAGGGTGTGATTCCTAGTGAGAAGGACCGCCGTCAGGCCACAATGGACTTCACACCTCCCATTTTCTACTGTTCTCGCATGCACGTACTGTTACCTAGAGCAGAAAGCATATAGAGATTATATTAGTATAGATGTATAGAAGTCATGATGATGGACTAAGATAATTCTGTTGCACAATACTATGCACTGAGATTCAGTCATGGCATTTCTTGTCAGTATCGCATGAACATGATAGAGACTGATCAAATAAATGGCACTTGATTTCATCTACTTATATTCTTCAGGGCATGTAAGCAAGCGGTGCATGGAAGCTGATACTTGCAATCTGTTTGCGGAATCTGGCAGTGTTTCAGTCCAAGAATGAGAATCATGTGATTGCTGGTAAGTGCTAATTGCATGCGCGTGCGTGATTTGTTTCAGGCCATCTTTTTTTTCTGCTTCCTGTCCTGCTCTTGACATGTTCCATTTGGAAATACATCAAATCTTTTTTTTAGAGTCAGGTCACTTCAGTTCTTGCAACTCCAGCTGGTATTCATGAACTTTTTGTTCCTGTGTTGTTTTCTTAGATCGACTATGCAGCTTGTTTAGGCATCAGCGTCTCTACTGCTATCTAGGATTGGAGGAAAGGCAGCTCGAAAAACTAAAGCACTAATGAAGCAACAAGTGGAAGTCCAATTCAGAAAGAAGTAGTTTGTTCTATATACTAGATTGGACAATGTTTTTCCGCTGGAAGTCTATTGCTGAATCTTAAATCAAGAGGAAGCTATCTAACTTTCTTCTTAAGGAGCCGGGAAGTTTCGCCAAGCCACTACAGTGGGCAAGAGATCAGCTAATTCATTTGAGGTAACACACCAGGCCTGGATTAACATGCCAACTTTCTTGTGATTTGCCTACAGTTAGATGAATTTACCATCAGTTTAGTGTACATAATATATGGACAAGTCAGGTTGCCAAAATTTAATCTGGCATAAGCATGCGTATAAATTTATGTGTTTGCTTAATAGTAACTTGAATCTAAAATCATAAAAGTATGTTTGTAGTTCAGACGTGCTTTGCGTATTCAAATTTTTGTTTTTTAACAAGACATGCATTGCACTTGCAAGCTTACTTGTCTTTGATAGAACAACAAACTGATTTTAGATGCTAAAATAAACACTAAACACTACTTCCTCATGGCGACTATGTGTAAAAAGACGAGGAGATCCCGACTATTGATGTGAAGCCAGGGTGGAAGAAGGTCACGAAGATCACCTTCCTAGAAGGAAGGATCTGATTTTTCCAGTGCAGATATGTGTTTCAAAAAGTTATGTAATTTTTATAACACTAGAGTCTATGAAGTTATATTTCCAGATATTTCACTTTTCGCATAAGCTGAGGCACCATTTTATTTTAAAATATTTTTTGAAGTAAAATTTGTGAATAAACTGCATGATGTTTCATGTGTGTGAATTGCACTTTAGCTACAACACTGAGATAACAAGGTGCAGAGGATATGAATGGTTATGGCTTGTGTCTTGTGGGGTCAGCCGGGGAGGCGACGGCGGCGGGGAGCAGCGGCACATCGGCGGACAGCAACACATGTGTAGCACACAGCGGCAGCGGCTGCACGGCCACGACGGACAAGCAACAACGCGAAGCAGGGGCAGGTGGTGGTAAGAATAAGTATCACTTGTCATGTTTAACTCATGGCCAACAAAGAGTAAGTATCACTTGAAACTCACTACATGAAGAATACTACTGTGACGATTATATACATATATGTTCCACTTGGTTGCTCAGGTAGTATTAATTTCTAATTTCTTATCACTTCCTTTTTCTTGCAGTCAAGTTTTGAAACTGGGCTTTGATGAGAAGTTCATTCGTATATGGGAATTCTATCTTGTATACTCTGCCTCTGGTTTGAAGTCATGAGTAGCTAGAGATTACCTGGTACGGATGCATATATGTGTGCTTTTTGTATAGGTTTACCTGCATTATTCCTATTTCCTAAACAAATGTAAGTCATATACTCCCTCTGCCCTCTGGTCTTCAAAAAACATCTTTCTGGAAACTGTTTGGTGGTTTCCAATGCAGACTATAAAATTTAAGTTGATGTTGCTTTCTACAATTATGTTAATCTCAGCCATAAGATTCTGAGATCAGTCGACAACAGATCTTTGAGTAAAAAGTAGTAAATTAGAACCTTTGGTGAACTTGCAGAAAACAAGCTTTCATCGTTTGAGATTGTAAATGACCTGAGACAAACCTGGGTCCTTTACATTCTTATTTGATAACTTTGAATCTTTACGTCTTCTGTATATATATTTCAGCACATTTTGTATCAACTGATAACTTCGAATCTTTGCGTCTTTCGTCAGATCATGCTTACTGTTGGATTTGCACATGAATAACTAAAAGCGCCATGACATTACGTATTTCCTTCATTTTAGCCATTAAACTCATCTATCGAGTGTTAATTTAGTATGTTTTCTTGTCCTGAGTGTATATTCATCTTAGTTAGAAAGGTCTTTGAGTGGCTTTGGTCATCCTAAATTTTGTGTGGATTCTTTTTCCAATCCTGTTTAGCTTTGCCTAACAATAATTATTATAGCCCTTGATGTGCACATGCCCAATTTCCCCATATTGTATAGTTTCCCATTCTATAATGGCAACCTTTCTGCACTGCTAAGATGTAAGCACGACTACATGTTTAACTCATGTTTAATATTGTCAGAACTAAGCATATGGTAGAGAAAGGGTTGCTTGCATGCCATCCATGTCATCGAGAAATTGTAGAATTCCCTCTCCCCATTTCCTTACCATGAATATAATGCTTTATTGACCTGTTTTTAGCTTTTAGATGTTCTGCAACTATATACACAATAGATACTGGCTGTCTGAACTGTAATTCCACTCCATGAGAAGCTGAGATAAAGTAAGAACGGGGCAAAGTAATTCCGACTCTTTCTGCTCGCAGGCGGGGCCTGCTATGACTCCCAATGGGTGGTATTACTGCAACTGTCGATCCTTCAAATTTTGACGATAACAAGTAGCCTGAATCCAAGAAGAAAACTAATTCAATTCTCCCAAGACTGCTAATTTTTGGGTTTCTTTGTTCCAACTTTGCATTGACACCACTTGGACAATGTTTGTGTTCCTTTGCTTTTCATCATGAAAACAAACATTCTGAAATCTTCATAGGATATTTGATTTCATTTTTACTATACAATAGAGTAAATAGGCTACGTCCTTACATTCTCTGCGGAGAAGTTATCCAGCCAGTCGGTTGCCATTGATTTGTGACATTTTTTTATACAGTTGTGATTCCCGTGGTCTGCTTGTTATCGTCAAAAGATAATTGATGGGTTTTTACTTCTCCTTTTGTTTATAGAGAATGGGTCATCCTAGAGTATGAATTTGACATGGTTTGATTGAGACGTGCGTTGCACGTGCACGTTTACTAGTAAGAATATAAAGAAGAGAGAAAAAAGTCTAGGGCGTCGCTGCTGTTGGCCTTCGACATGCTGGGCTGCTGCTGCGCTGTGTCACGTGCATGAGCGGCCGAAAGGAACTGGGCCACCGGGGTAGCTGGGTAGAATTAGAGTAGAATAGGTTTATGATTTTCTATTTATTTATTTTAGGTACAGAAAGGATGTTAGCTCCAAAGATGATCAAAATCATTTTATAAAAATACCAGGACATCCAAAAACACAAATATAGTCACATACAACATAGTGAACATTTTTCTAGTCCAAAATATTTATAAAAAATACATATAATATTTTCGTAAACTTTACTTTGACACTTATAAAATGTTCCACGAAATATTTTTGAACTCCAAAGAAATATTCAAATAACATATTCAAGAATTTCCAACTGTCTTTAACATTGAAGGAGCCATATTTCCTTCTCTCATAAGAATTTATTTTCGAGTTAGAATTGTTTTAAATATTCAAAATCCAGATGGGAGAATATTCAATTGTTCATCAATATTACTCCTTGAGGAAGTCATGTCATCCTCTCTCATATTTAAATTGGAAATAGTCTGAATATTCTCCAACCCAAAATAAGATGAAATTGAATAATTGGGAAAGTCATTTTATTCCCTCTCTTTTAAGAAAAGCTGAAATTCCAAAAGCTCCAGATCATAGTCAAAATTAACTAACAATAAGCACTACAAGCAATTTTTAATAAATTATATTTAAATAATTAACATTTCAAAATTTAGAATTTTGGGATGTTACACCGGCCCGCATGTATCCCTTTTTTTTCTTTCTGTTTACAATATTAAAAAAGGTGAGCCAGCTCAATATTACTCCTTGAGGAAGTCATGTCATCCTCTCTCATATTTAAATTGGAAATAGTCTGAATATTCTCCAACCCAAAATAAGATGAAAATGAATAATTGGAAAAGTCATTTTATTCCCTCTCTT